GATTTTCATCAAGACTTGAGGGACCGAAAAATGCTCTTCAACTATTGATTTTGTGATTTACATCCTATTTATCATTATCACAATTGTTACGCCATCATCATAATAAGATCATGAGCTATAATGAGATGGTGATTGCTGACAAATTATGTTTAGCTAAAGATGATGTCAACTATCAATCATTGATTTCATAAGATAATTTTTTGAATGTGAAGCATGAACATTCTTAGAAACAGAAAAATGATAACAGAAAAGAAATCTAAAATCAAATTTGAATCTTGGAGAGATGTCAAAATTAGAAAATTCCATGTTTTGTTGGAAGTAATTGAAAACTTTTATTTCAAGAGAGATTATGTGTAAAGTAGATATAGCAAATTGCAACTTGCAAATAATGAAGAAGATCATGAGGAGAAATTTCTAAAAGACTACTGATCTATAATTTCAGTAGTATGCATTTTGCATTTCTTTCCAACAAAAAAGATGAATAAATTCAAAATAGTGCTTGTTTATATTGTATGTGTTATACAAGAATATTTTATAATCTTATTTGATGTGAAACTTTTCAATAACCTAAAGAAGAACATTTTATTGATTGATATGTAAGACACACATGGTCATTAGTGAGAATTAATAGATATTGTACTTCAATTCATAGCTAGAAAAATTTCATTTATTAAAAAAATAATCACAAGAATCTGTACGTGATAGAATATAGCATTGTTCATGGAAATGTGCATATTCATAGATCAAAAAATGACGTTGAATACTTGCAAACATGTATTTTTGTGAATTTTTAACATAAAAAATAAGAGATAACAAACTTACATAAGTAACCCCATATGTACTAAAAGTAAAAGAAGTTTTTTTCAAAGTTGAATGACTAATAACATAATTATATATGTAGCCCCATATGTACTATAGATGATAATATTGCCGCATCTCAAACTAGTACATATAGGGCTACATATGTAAATACATGTTATTTGATGACGTGTTGGAAACAACAATCCGTGTGCTTGTTAAGTAAAAATTGGATGCGCTAGTTTGTGTGTTAGTTAGAAGCAACACGTTATAAATACGTCTGCTTGTTAAATAAAAATTGAATGTGCATAGATATGTGCACACTCAATAGATTCATTGCATAAAATGTGCACTAAGATACATATCAATATCAAGAGATGTTTGAAGTATCTATGTAAGTGAAATATTTCAAATATACATGAGAATAAGGTATTCTTTATAATATTTAATACTTTACTAGTGGATTGATGACATGGAGGATATACTGCATTAGCACACGGATTGCTAACGTGTCAATCCCAGCTAACACATCAACTAGCACATTTAATATTTATTTAACAAGCATAGGTTTTGATGACGTGTTGCTTCCAACTAACACACCAACTAGCACATTCGAAATTTATTTAACAAGCACACGTATTGATAACGTGTTACTTCCAACTAACACATCCAATCTTTACTTAACAAGCACACTGATTGGTACGTGTTGTTTCCAACACGTCATCAAATAACATATTTCTAGTTTTAACTAACTAATCAGGTTTACAAGGTGACAACCTGGATAGGAACAAAGACTCTCGTAGCGTACGCTTTATTTCGAGCTTTCAATATAAATTGGAGAAGCTTATGATAGCTTGATGGATCAAAAAATACAATGCATAAACTAGACAAAAATTGAAATGAAGCGTGTAGTTCACAAATGCCCTCCACATGAAAGAGATCAAGGATGATAATCTAGGATATGTCTTCAAGCAGTTCATGACATAATTTTTCTAAGGAAGCATAGACATCTTCATCACCGTAATCGCCAAAATTTGACTTTTCTCTCATCAAAACAAAAATCACTCGGACAGATTGTGACAATACTCATCAACTCTCAATTCCTTTTCAATCAATTGATCTTTAATCTTGCCAACTTGATCTTGGTGTGCTTAGTACAAGTCAAGCAAAAGCATATAACCTAAGTACAAAAGCACAAAAAGTGTACTCGCATAAAAACTGTTGTCATAACATGCACCAACATTTTTGTAACCAATATCAAAACTACTTTGTCAAACACGCAAACCTTCTCTAATATCAATTGATGTGTAATTGCATACAAGATAATTAGAATCCACGACAAAATACACTTTGCTCTTTTGGCTAATATTACAAAAACACTCAATTTATGTTCAGCGAGACAAACAGACTCGCTGCACTAATTAGTTTAGTAGAAACAAAGTCGGTTGAGCCAAAATCCTACATCCAACTATTTTTTTTCTTTGAATACATCATCAACGATTGTGCATCATTAACGCATTGTCCCATATTAGGATAATACCTAACATAATTGATATGTACTTCTATGGTCATTTTAATCTTTTTAGTCTTTGGTAGCTTATTTTTTTCATTGAAAATTTTTCATCTTAAATCATGTCAACTAATTTATTTTAATATCAATTAGCAAAAAAATCAATGATTTTTTTAGAACCTTGTCAATTTTTTACTTCTTTGTAAGTTTTTTTTTTCATACATAAGAAAATCACTTGATATAAATGAAAAACTATATTTAATCATGAAAAAAATGAAATAATTTAATAAATATGATAAAGTAACATACAAATCAAAAAATCTTGAAATATAAACTTTGTAAACTAAAATCTGAAAAAATAAAAAAACATGAATTAAAAAAATTGGAATCTCAATCTCAATACAAAACATTCAAGTTTACTCAAAATCAATTCTTATCATTATTGAGTAGAGGAATAAAAAAAACATGAAGACACTATATATGAACTCAATTTTATTTTTTTGAATGAAAAAAGCTCGCAACATGAAACTCTACAAGAGTATTAAAGCTATTAGTATATTACAAAAATGAATTATGAAAAATGAATATAATTTTGTTTCATGAATATGTAAAACACGAAGGTTTTTATATTAAGTAAATTTCACCTATCATAATTATTTTAATTAATTTTAACTTTAATTTTAATTATTTTTAATTATTTTTACATTTCAACTTAAATTATTTTTTATAATAAATTTGACTATTTTTGCAATAGTAATTTTTAATTAAAGTATTTTGCAAAAGAAATGCATGCTTGTGAATCTTGGCTCATCTATCTATCAAGAATTATAGACTCACATCAATTATTATATTTATACAAATAAAATGTTGTCTTGTATTAAATTATCCAATTAATTCAAACCTAATCATTGAGGATGAAAAAATATTTAATGTACCATTGATACATAGAAATTATTGCTCATTTAAAATTCAAAATAGAAATACAAATGAAGTCATTGGGGATATTGTGCTGCTATAACACAAACTGAAAAGAGCTTTGACATGGATTTTGGATCAGGTACTCAATTTAGTACTATTATTGAAAACATTATAAACACACATGTAATACACATGAACTTCTTTTTAAAAAATTAAGAAAATATGACTGATTCTAAAATGATACAACAATAGACAAGGATTGAAGGTATAAGGTTATGTAAAGCAATCTTTTTCTCTTGAGTCTATAGTCATATTGATACTTTGGATTACAAATGATTTATATTCATTATGTGATCTAACTTTAGTGTTTGTTATGGCACAAGAATATAAAAGTTTAAATAAGGGAGAGAAATTGCAATATTGCTTATATTATAGTAGATTTCTAATTGCCTTGACAATATCTATGGGTCTTCCTTCCCTTTATAGTGCCTTGTTAAACGGTCCTCACAGTTGTTAAGAAATACGCGTTTCGCAACTCCCCTGCGCTGCAACAATCGTTTCAACTCATTTCTCCTATGAATTCAGAAGCTCTTGATTATCTTTTGAGTCTGTGTTTCATCGTACCTCCGAAGGGGCACCCTTGCCTAAGTAGACTCGCAAATCAAAAAGTCATCAAGAATTTCGAACTGCGTAACGGTGTTACGCCCTGTCATGTTGGCAGTTGCTTGATTGAAATTTGTGTCGGTTGCAATCATTACTGCTTGCGAACAGTGACAAGAGTCCACAAACTCCACCTCATGTTTAGCAGCATTATGTGGCCAAAGCCCACATATGCATTTATCATGTTGCAGAAAAACCAAAAATCTCCGTTCATACATCATTCATACGAGCTGGACGGAAAGTCGACTTGCTGTCGTGAGGGATGTTAAGCTTTTGCAAATCTGGCCTTGCAGATCCAACATAGTGCTCAATTTCTCGTAGACTTTCGAAGCAGGGGCAGGCAATATAAATGAGGTGCAAACCTCGTCACAAAGTCGTGTCACGGTGTCTTAATCTTGACGTTCTGAAAGAAAGTGGCTCACCACATTCCTACGTGCCAGCGACGGTCGGAGCCAACCAAAGCTAGTTTACATATGTGACAACGAACTGCAACATGCTGAGTGACTACAGACAAGAGAACAGAATCTGCAGCTGCCTTAGACGCCACAAAATATATCCCTCGGCATCACATCTCAGTGGTTAAGTTGCAAGGATCCATTCCCTCACGCTAGACAAGACACTACTATGTGCGACACTAAGAACTGGAGATTCTTGGTGTACTCTTATGCTAGGGGAGGAATGAGTTCACTGTGCAGAACAATAATCCACGATGATCATGATCTCTTATAGATGAAGTATGTGCATAATCTACTACTAGGGTGAACAAAGATTCTTCGTTTCCATAATCTACAAGAGTTTGCTTGCGTTGAAGCAGCCTTCTTCCCAAAAATCCATCTTCACTTCAAGTGGAAACTCTAGAGTGCTACTCACGTCAAATGCTCCTTTTCTTTGAAATCAGACTTGACAGACTTGGTTGCTGTAGAGAGAAAGCACATGCTGTGTACCAAGGCTTTGGAGTTCTTACTAGTGTGAGCCCAAAATCTCCTTTCATCACTTGAACTCAGATCATTTGAGAAGTACCAAGACATGACGAGGCAAACTTTCAAAACTTCGAGAAGATTCCGAGCACGGAGTTCACCAGCAAATTTCCAACAAATTCACGCAAAGTATAATCTCACGTCATCGACAAGATGGTTCACGACAGATTTGGAAACTGGTTACAAGTTGTCCACTAGTTTTGAACTCAGAACAACCCAAGGAAAATGAGGATACTTGGCATGTTTCTTTTCATGGTATCCTTCGTCCTATTGCCATCAATTGTACATGAGAAGAGTCCCGACCAAAATGATGGCAAAGGTACAGCTGTACAATACAAGCTACATCTGACTATGAGAAAGAAACACGGATCTTTTCTAAGACTCCTTGAAGCTAAAAAGCGAAAGTCTTGGAGTATCAGAGTATATACATCAAAGATTCAGCATGTTCTTGGCGGCCTCAGCGGCAGGAAGGAACGTCATGCAGATAGGGGGATTGATCTTGCTCAGAGACAGAATGGCAGCAGGAATAGTCCAGATACCATCACCACATATCAGACCAGAGGCGAGCGCTCCTGCGTAGACCTCAGATTCCTTCCTGTTCAGCTTCTCCCAGACGAACAGAATAACAGTCCCCACAAACATGTCTATGGCAAAGTAAGCTCCGATGTAGAAAGGAATGGCCATGGCCATAGGGATGGGAATGAACTGGGCATACTTGGGAGGAGCAGTATCTCGAATGAGGTTGGTCACAATGGCGAAGATGAAAAATCCGATACACAGCTCCAGACAGTGTTGAGGGAGTGCAGAGAATCCAGCAACACCCAAGATTGCCATCTCTCGGAAAATGATGGCATTGGGTGCCTTGTACTCTCCCGTTTGCGAGCCGATGTCAAAAGCAGTCCAGAATATCCAGAAAGTAAGGGGAGCAATCACACATCCCAAAGCTGTTCCGAGGATCTGGCTTACGAACATGGATCGAGGTGAAGATAGAGTAAGGTAACCAGTCTTGAAGTCCTGCATCAGGTCGGCAGCTGTTGACACTATGGACATCATAACTCCACAAGCTGTCAACCCTGCCATGACACCGCCATTGTTTCCAGCCCATGATGCAAAAACGAAGAGGCCCAATTTCCCGTAAGTAGAAGCCAAGCTCCAGTCTGTGAGACCTGTGCCGTATGAGTTGCAGAAAGCTAGCACTGGCGCTACGAGGTAACACAAGAAGACGAAGTACCATTTCATAGCCGTGAAAATTTTAGGAATCAGGGTGATGGACATGGCAGCAAGAGCGACATAACCGGATACTGCCACCCAATTAGGAATGCCCTCCATCAGAAAGACATCTCTTCTTTTCTTCTCGTCGGGGGAAAGGTTTACCACCTCCTCTCCCTCTCCCCTGGTGGGAAGTTGCTGACTCTTGTACTGTTTATGAATCGCCTTCGCAGTCACGAACAAGATCTTTACAAAGTTGTACAAGCCATCCCCTAGAACAAGAGCAATAGCGATGAAAACCTGCACATTAAGGCCGTATTGGTCAACATGAAGTTAAGCGTTCTAGCGATCGTCCAATATTGTGACACGATTTTACTGACCGCAAACGTACAGCCACATAGTAAATACTTCCCACCTTTCCCGAGAATTCTGACATACGCGAGCCTAAGACACGTGATCAACAATAGGCGTGTGCGCAGAGATGCATACGATACTACGCGAATGACTCTATCGCTGACTTTGGCCTGAAAGTGCACGAAGAAATAATATTCAATGGTCTGATGCTGTTCTCCGAAACAGAATGTAAACAGTACCCTGGCACAGTTCCGCTTTTTGAAATCCTACCTTGTACCCGTATAGACCTTTGAAGTCACTCTGACCCAGCCCAGACGGAAACCAGTCTCCTTCACGAGTGTTGATCAACGGCCACATGAAGCCCCATGATAGAAGAGCTCCGAACACGACGGAGCAATTTACAATATGGGGACAGATCAGGCCTACGCCGATGTACGTCAAACTGAAGTCGAAGAATATCCTGTACAAACAGAAGCGTTCACGTGCGTCAGAAAATGAGTTTGAGTACTTTTGTACCACTTCAAATGGAGTCGATACAGAGACTTGGTTGAGTTCTCTCCGGTGAGTGGGAAAACACAGGAAAGACGAGACACAGAAAGAGTCAACGCATACTTGTTGTTGTAAGCCAGAAACCCGAGACTAGGAAAGTTGTCGAAACCGCAGCTATCACCGATGCCACTGAAAAACCACTTGAAGAAGCTCCAAAAGAAGCTGATAGTGAAGTGCTTTCCCAGACATCTGACCTGCTTTCTGTTCAGTGTCCAGAAACGTGAGCTTGTCAATCGGTATTCGCAGATCGGATGTCATGTCTAGGAGAGCTATAGACAGGTGAAGGTGATGCATGCCCTCCAATTGGTCTACTCTTAAAATCAATAATTTATACAAATTAGCACAACTCTTGCCTTCCATGACAGCAAAGAAAGGTCGATTACGAGATGTTACATGCCAAACCTTGTGAATCTTTGAACTGAGAAGAAAGCTGTTACCTGGCAACGTCGGCACCTTGCGAGGTGTGGAAACTGTTGATAAGAACGGCCGTTGCTGTCCCACTTGGATACGTGAGTGCGTAATCGATGACCATAATCTGCATGGTACACCGAAAAAAAGTGATGAGGGAAACGTAAGAGGCAATGGGCGTATCTTGCAGTCATGGATTCTGATTGGTGGTTCGTGGTGAAACCACAAAGCATACCACACTTTTTTATTTGACCAAGAGGATGGCATCTCACCCATGCAATCCCCAACGGTAAACGTCGACCAGATCTTATGACGAAACCTCAGAGTTGGCCGCAATGGAATCGGACAGCCATACCTTTCGAAGAGGGACAAGAGCCAGAAGTCCAACAAAACTAACTGTGAACAAAAAGGCAATCATCCATCCGAGCGACGGATTCTTCACATCCTCTGCACTATTTCCGGGGTAGTCCACACCAAGAATCTCGTACGTCTTCTGGTCCATGGCAAGAAGATATGAACCAAATCCTCCTGAACGAAAAGAGAGAGGTACAGATGGGTCAAAACTCGTCCACAGAATGCCAGGAAAACTAAGTGAGCAGAGAGAACAAAGAGGAATCGATCCCACAGTCAAACTTGTGATTGTGTGCTGGCAAAACCTCTAACTTCGTATAGATACATAGGAGACTATTCCGTTCTATTTTTCTATTAGGGAAAAATTTTACTTAGTGAAAGACACATTTTATGTAGATTTTCGTTCTTGCAGCAAGTTTTCGTTTTCGAGTCAGTTCTAAGAAACACAGTATCCGGATGGGCACTTAACGATAACCAACGTATTTTCACAGTGATGAGCACGTTATACTAATACTTAAATAATCTCAAGTTCATAATTCGCCTCGATGGCCATTGGCCGGCTTAACAATTGTTCCGAAACGTTAGCTTGAAGTGAGATATGGACTACTGTGTCGACATATAGTACGAGAATAAACATGATGTGTCCTTGTATCCAAAGCTTTAACTTACCGCTGAAAGCAAGTCCATAGCAGGAGACAACAGTGGTCTGAATCACGGTATTTTCCTGCCTGGTGAATGGCTTGCTCCAGAAGCCCAATTGAGACAGAGTGCCGGTCCATAGCTTGATGAAGAAGAATCCCAGCAGCCCGGCAGCAACATTGAGAGATGGAATAACACCTATGACAAAGTTCAGCTTATGGGTGATTATACAGAACATAGCACCCAACAGTATGCTCACAAGAATACCCCTGAACGTGATCTGCTCATCCCATGGGGGAACTTCAACATCTGCCAATGTATCCAATCTGTCATCCTCGTCTTTCGCCAGCAGAGGTGAAAGAATTGGACTCTCGTCGACGGTCCATATCGCATCCCCAGTGCGAGAGCTTTCGGAATCGCCGCCGGCCCCCATCGCTTCTCAGTACTTGCAACTTCTTCGATTGTTTACCCTTTGTTTTCAGAGCAACCTGCAGTTCTCTATTTCCAGTGGAGCAACAGTCATGTTCTGCTAGATCTTTCAGCTTCCGTTACCCCCTGAGACTGTACCTGGGATGCAGATACACGTCCTTTCTTGTGTCACACCATGCTCTGTGATGTAAGCTGAATTGCTCTTTGAGTGGGCCTAACCTCACAGATCTAGGGGTTGTGGGACAAGTATATGCAATCGTTTCTCTCACTGCCTGAGAGCCCCCTCTAGACCCTTGCCAAATTTCCTCATCGCCTCCCGCACTGCTTTCTACCAATGACGAGAGTGAACTATCTCGCCTCCCGTCTACACCTCCTCACCGCATCCAACGAACCTTCGGAATCGCCCTGGCCCGAGTTCCCAGCTGATATTCTCGGACCTGACGGCTAAACCTGCACACCGTCTTATTTCATGTAGTCTCCCACTAAAAGGGCCCAACCCAGTGCCAGTGTCGGAGAATCGTACATGAATATAAGAATGCCTCAATACTCCGAATACAACTAATTCCGAGAGGGGCTGCCCTCGAGCTGCAGTAGGCTCACAGTGTCTTCAGACCGAGGCTCCAAAATCAGTTTCCCTGTGGAACCGTTTTGTTCGTTCACCATCCCCCGCTTCCTCTTCCAGGGGATTCTGTCACATGTCCGCTCAGACACCATCGCCCATGGATGCACTCTGTCTGATGAACGTGAATTCGGCACGGCTCTGAAGTCTCTACCTCGACTCAGCTCGACTCGGCTCTCTCGTTCATAATGCGAGCAAGACCGACATCTGCTTCAGCAACTGGATCTATGGGGAGAGGTGTTCAGTCCAGCCCCTTCCATTCCATGCCGACTGCGAATCTTGCTTCCCAGCTCTGGCGTGAATGCCGCCGCTGACGATGCCGTGTGCGCTACCAGCCTATCGGGACTTTTACAGCGTCAAGGCAGTCGATGCACCTCAGTTCGCTCCTGAAATAAACAGGCAGCCGCACTGGCACCAAACTCTTTGATATTACCTCCCTGGATTATTACGTAGTTAAGGGGCGCACCTACTCGGTTTGACTCGCAGTCTCGAAGCCGGGCACCCGCGAGTTAAACTTCCATCTACAATGGCATTCATTTTCTCAATAAAAAGTTAGATTCAGTCACCGACACGCAAATGCGCGTGTGCTATGCACGGCGCTGGGCAGAAAATGGAACCACGGCGCACAGTTCAGCCCGGCACGGTTCGGCAACGTGGTCAGAGATCCGGGCTGTGGGTAAACATTGTAAATCCGATGCGACGGGAAAAGCTACCTTTGTCGGATTTGGCACCGAGGTGCACTGATTGAGATTCCGTGCAGGACGGTTATGGAACGTGGATCTGCCAGAGGGACAGTGGGAGTCCACTTTATCGTTTAGCGAGCAGAAATGGAACTTGGATTGGACGAGGCGGCCGGGCTCGGCCACCACTCCGGCAACGAGGGAGAGCCAGTGAGCTGGAATGGATCGTGGAAAGAGCATCCTGTTTCCCGTTCGACAAGCTTGCCATGGGAGGATGGATAGTCGGAAGCTCTGACCTCCAGCGGCGCGGACGAGGTCCAGTCAATGACTGGGAGGGCCATCTGCGCACCGGCTGCACTGTATTATTGAGTGCCTGTAAACGTGCAATCCCTTGTAGGCTGGTGCTCGCCTCCTCGTACGACACCCGATCCTTTTTAACAAGTCACGCAAAGGAACTGGAGCCCTTGTTGATAATGGATCTGAGAGCTCAAGGTAGAGGTGGACACCCTTACGTCTCAGAGACCCATTGCCAATCTGACGTCCTCCCAATGAAACAATGATCTCTTCATGTGCTGTTGCGTAATTGACTTCTTTCGTTCCCAGGAAATTGATTGGATCGAGTCCATTCCTTCGACCAACACACGATGACGAGACTGGACTGATAGGTGCAAGAAACATGTACATTTATGCTCAGCTAGAAGAAGTGAAGCGAGAGCCAGAGTCACTTACCGGGTGATAAATTTCGAGAAATATCGAATCCGCAAGTGACGACTTGAATCGCACCGATATCTGTCACGCGACATATATATACATATGAGTTACATTAAATTGCAACGGGGAAATGATTAGCAATCAAATTCATGAATATTTTAAGTTAGCGTTCATATTTTAGTTTATATGGTAATATTCTTAAATAAATGTTTATTCTGATCATGCAAAAGATGGTTCAACAAATGTCACACTACCTAGTTTATACAATAATTTTCTTCCGCAACTTACTGTATCATTCAAGGTTTTCGACTAGAATGTTGCCTGAAATTAGATGAATCTAGTGAGACGGCTAGGTGGATTACATAATTTCAAATTTCGACCATTGATAATTTTAGAAATTACCATGCAACGGATAGCAGTCTAATTGGATGCGTTAAGCGAAACCACTAGCTTATAGTGCAGTACTGATATTCTTCCCATTCGATGTATGAATAAAAAGAGCGTCCACATGTATTCCATAATACGAAGCGGAGGACGCTGCAGTCCTCGTAGTTTTCCTCCAAGGTGCATGAATAAAGGTCAGTTTATATGCACTCTGTGATACCGCCCGTTTTGAGTGCAATCATGATATTATTCGAACTTAATACCACTGGTTAATAAAGAGCTTTTATGCAAAAAGGAAAGGACATTTGTACCACCGCATTAAAGCTGGATTGAAATATCAAAGACAGATCATGGCTTCATTTACTTTCTACATTTTCTTAGACTACGAGCATTTGAATCTCAAACTATGGAATAGGTTTGACCAATTACACTGGACAATTTATAAGGATCTCTTCCCGTGAATGAGAATAAAGTCGATTAAATCCATGAGATAAATGATTCCAAGTACTGATCTGCAATCCCCAAAAACAATGTTTCAACAAATTGCGTAAGTAGAAGTGAACAGAGACGAACGTCGATGTCCAGAGAGTTGGACAACCAACACAGGCTTCAAACCGAACGTGTTGACAAATCCATGGAACTCGCAACAAGGTCATCAAGCCCTCTTTGCTCGAATTTGAGCTCGACTAATCACGGGCAAGAGTCCAAGAATGTTCAGGAAGAACGAAGTCGTCAGGCACTTTACTGAGTTCACTAAACCCATTAAAATACATCGACTCAGCTTACCAACAATCGTCCCCTAATAGTAGTTCATCGGGTGTGGATTACGTGACGTTGGCTGCTGCTGCTGCTGAGACTACGGACCCAGCTTGCTGACGGCTAGTAATAGAAGACCAACAGATGTGCGAAGGAAAGGAGGACAATGAACACCAAGAGAACAGAACGCCCAAATGGCCTGTCAGAAAATAGCGTTGAATGCACACATACATCAGGGACGGGTTTAGGTTTTGACGGTCTCTACATGGTTGTCGGAAAGTCGGATCCGCCCACACTCAAATCCCCAAAACTGAGATAAAATCCGGCTGACTCGGGGCTGCCCCAATGGAACATGAAGCAAGAAAGAAAGAGTAGAAAGAATTGGATCCCTGACACCTGGCAGTACGACAGTTTGTATAAGTTTGTGCAACTAAGCGAGTCGATACATCAGCATAGAATTGGGAAAACATGAGCAGTTGATGAAAACGGTTCATTTGATTAAATTCTGTCGTTTCCACAAGTAAGACCCACCACGTCAAGGTTACTGCTCTCGCAGAAGCATGGTAGTCGCTCAGCGTCTACTTCCGATCTCCACTGAAGCAAAATGACGTGCTAGGTCACATCAATTTTACAGTTGCGGTAAATAAACAACGATAACTTTAGCGGCCATAGAAGCCGACCAGGCAGTAGATTCTTTGAACGGATGTATTGTATGTTCAGTTCAATGTATTGAGACACTTTTTTGGTGACAATTTGCAGACTAAGTAAATACTACACGCAAACAAGAGGAGACATTAAGACGTAAATTTGTAGCACGGAATCAGCGCGAATGAATTGGTCAAAGTATCTTACTCTGGACGTTTTCCAGTAAGGAAGGTAGTTCTTGAGTTTGCGCAGAAACGTTGATCTCTAAGAAACGTTGCTACATTGCAGGCATACATTGGAAACGCGTGCGTAGTGTGGACAACTCCCTCGAGATGACAGAGAGTTAATTCTCTGCTGTGTTTTACAGGGACTTCAAATGTTGAAGGCTTTACATAGAGGAGCTCATCGCTGTGCGACCTCTGCTCTTTCTTTGTCTACTCTGCTCGTCTACTGTGGGTTTCTGTCAAGAATTTGAACATCTCTACATGTGTATAGTACAGTGTACAATCAGTCAAAATTGCTGGCTATGGCTGCCCTTGGTTTCCTAGCAGCTCGTCTTATTGGGGGAAGGAATGAGATATCCTCGTAATCTTTCTCTATAGTACACCAACACTTTTCCTACTCCCACGACCTTTTGCTCCGATTCCAGCTACTCTCTTTCTCTTCTTCCCACCCACTCCGCCCCACTCTTCATCAGTTTCTTCTCCTGACTCTGAAGCTGGTTCATCAACAATCGCTGCAGCAGTTTTCTTCCTTAGTGTCCGTGTTGGTTGAGCGTAGCCATTCGCTTGACCACCGTCAACGGTTTCTCCATGGTTAGCACCAGCAGCAGCGCGACCCCGTTTCTTGGTTGGAATGTTGGCAGTGTAAGTAGAGTAGTCCATGGCATCTTCTTTCAATAGACGCTTGAAGGCCTAAAAAGCCAACACCCAACGAGTTATACGGGAGCTCACAGTCCATTTCGTTGCGACAATCCTCACCTTCCACGCACGCTACGCCGTAAGGGATCACGATGACTCACCTGATATTGTTCTAACATTTGACGAACTGTAGTAGGAGGTTCAATTGGTAGCTCCCTCGTGCTGAACTCCTTGACATCACGTCTAGAGAGGATATCCCCAGGTTTAATGGTTTCGGATGGGGCATATGCCTGGAGAGAAGCTCATAATTGTCAGCGTGGCAACCCACGAAGTACTGAGCATAATAAATTGACTGCCTCAGGTGGAAAGATGCAGTCGATTGAGCCAAATGGTAGATACCTGACAGCGGGCGTCATTCAAGCTGTACACAATCTTCAAGTGTCGTTTCAAACGCAATAACAATGCTAGTGCCATTGCGGCATTGCAATCCAACTGCAAGGCACAATTATCGACCGAACCAGGTCAGGTACTGGTGGGAGGAAACGGACCTCTAAACTAGATAGAATACGATGCTAAAGATCGAGTTTATCACCAGAAACATTTAAAAGCACCAAGAAAGGGCGAATTTTATCACATACCCTAAGCTTGTCTAAAACTTCATCAGGAATGCCTTCCGTATTGTCCACCGGATCGTTGGATGACTTTGGTATTTCCTCCTCCGTGGCATTTACATTGTATGCTTCCTCACCCTCCTGTTCCTTTTCTGCAGCCATTACGCCTAGTACTTGCCTTGCGACAACTCCAAGATGCCCATCGGAAATTGCCGCCTTCATGTTTGCCTCCAAAACTCCTCCCCTTACTTGGACAGCACGATTGATAGTATAGACTATGTACAATGGTTCATCTGGGAGTCCAAACGGTAACGCAGAAAGAACTTCTGCACAATATCTGTAAAGCAGACTATTTGGTGAGCCTAAAATCTGCAGTCCCTTGAAGTTAAGTTGAATCAATGCTCCCATATTGAATGAGCTTTGACACAAGTAGAAGCGGTTAAGTGTACTGGCCCAAGAAAACTGATGGACTTCAACCTCCATGGAAGTTTGGGTATGACGATATACAGAAGTCAATATTGAAAATTAAGCACGTCGTCACAATTCTGAAGCACGAAAACGCGCAACTACCTCCCTTAACATAAAAAAAAGGTACGAGCATTTAGAAGTTTGAAATTGTGTAGCACTTACACCAAGAAAGGTACTGATGATGGAGTTCCTGTGGCTGCGTTGTCAAATTTTCTGATGACAGATGAAAGGAACTTATTACGAGAAGGTCGGCTGCCGCGAATAAGTTTGTAAATTCGTGCAATTCCCGCTTTTGCAGACTTCGCTGTGCTCTGCTCAATAACTTTTCCATCAAAAGGTGGCTTCAAACCGTTTAAGGCGTTATCCGCGGAAGAGGCACCAGAATTAATAAAAACGAATGACAGCTGAAGTCCATCTCCCAGACGGCTTTCAAAAAATGACGGGTACCTGAAGAACAAGAGGACGTTGTCTGTTAACAGAAGGCAGATACTCCAAGTACAGTAACTATGTACAAAGCAACACACACATGCACAGAAACCAAAGGCAAGAGGTCGAAGGATCCCTACTTACTTTTCGTTCAAATTCATTAGTAACCGATGTGCAAGTTTCGCATTAGCCTCGTGCTCATCCACCTCTAACGCTATAAGCTGTGGTACACATGTCATTGGATGAACGAGCCCTTGTCGAAGCACAATTTCAACGACCTGAATACGAAAAAAAAGCAAATTTATTTAGAGGGTCTATCTTCCTCAGGCTATCAGAGTCACATATTTCCAAGTGCACTATGATGAGAAAAAGGATGTATCTTATTGGAGCAGTACTAACTTTCGATTTATACGGCTCCCGAAGTGGTATGATATTGATGTAAATCAAAACTTTAAAGCGAACAAACAATGCTGCTTATGATATTCGATACCTCTTGTCATGTACTTCAAAAATTCAAGGCAGTCGTTGCACAGAGATAGCAAGTCATGTGAAACAAACCGAATTTTTAGCGTCAAAGGACGACGGACCTTTAAGCAAGCGAGCCGAACATGGTCGCTCCTATCTAAACACCTTTCCAGTATAATATCCCAGTGTAGCTGAATAATCCCGCCACAAATATTACTATCTCCAGCTCCAGCCGCTACTGGAACAGCATTACCTCGCGCCTCACGTTTCTCAGCTTCAGGAGCGGATTCCGTCGCTCCCATCATTTCTTCTACATCTACGAGATAGTCACTGAAGTTTCGTAGCATTTGCATCTGCCAACATCAGAGGCGATGGAAACAACCGATTAAACTCAAAAGATGACAAGTATTCGTCAACTGATCCTGTTGGCAGCCATTTGCCATGGCTCTAGTTGATTTCTTCACCAGAACATAAAACTAAGCGGATGGTCTGCAATCAATAAACATTTATTCATTACCTTCAGACGAGGATGTGCATTCGTAGAGAGTGAGTCTTCAATCAGCTTTCCCATCTCTTTCTCCATCATACAGTCAGGCTTTGCTATAAATACAAACCCAACGGCCTGTCCCCAAAAACATGAAACTCATCACCACGTATTTATTATATGGAAATGCACTTTCACTGATGTTTAAGTACAAGTTCGGCGTGCAAAATGCTTGTATACAATGTTGCACGCTGCACGCGACTGAAATTTCACCGATAGCACTCTTACCTGCAATGCTTTAGCTTTGACATCAAAGTCTGGAGACACCATATAAAACTTGTAGAGACTCAATATCTGCTGCATGTTCACGTCGTTGTCCTCCATAAAGTCTAACAAATCCGAACCAAACCGTACGAGCACACCAAGGCAAAAGAGGTATCGTAGGACATTCTGCACAAGTCCCATGTCATCGCTTTGCTTTAAGATTATGAAAGATCCACAAATTATACGTAACGCCCTTGACCATAAGCAGAAGAGAAACTCGTGTAAAAAAAAAATTAAGATGGGCCAACAAGAAAATTTACCGGTTTCTCAGAGGGTTGGTATGAAGTCTTACGCCAGGAGTCCAGAAACTTGAAAAATCGACTTACTAAAAGCTCATACGATGTGACTCCCTTCACGGCAACTTTACTTAATGAACATAGACACCTGAATTCACAGTTGCGGGTTATTCCTCGATAACTAATAGCCATGCGAGATACGATAGATGCAAGTGAAACACTTCGAGGTACGACAAAGATATCGTAACACCTTAACACGCCTAACTTAAAAGGTTCACACATGATGTGCATCACTAAACCAGGATCACTGAAAACAAACAAACTACATCTCTTCAATACTTATTCTCATCATCGTCTATGCGACAGTATTCCAAAAGAGAACCTTGTAGCTGTCAAGTTATGTATGAAAGTCAAGCATCAAGTAAGGAGTTCTCTCACCGTGGTATTCTTCCAAAAGAGAAGTTTTAAAAAACTCTTACAGAATCAACTATTGATACAAGCAAAAAGTTTGCAAATTACGCTTTTCAGGTAGCTGAGTCTCACTTTATACATGCATAAACAACTGTTGAAAAAGAGTATCGAACAATCAGTTGTCTCAGATCCCGCTCCAGCTCTTCAACAAAGCTCTGAGGTGGTCTCCGAAGCAAGGGTAAAACAGTATCGATGACAAACACGATGCTTTGCAGCAACTGAGCAGCATCCCGACTGTCTACCTGCAAAGATAGGGACCAGTTACGAATTCTAATTCATTGATGACAAGCAAATCAAAGCTTTCAGTGATCATCGAGTCATGCCCAAGAATTTCTCTTCAAGACGAAAAAGTTGGAGCACATTGAGATTCTACACGTAAGAATCAAGACTATGCGAACATAAGGCCTTCAGATCATCTGGACACAAACACAACAATACCAAATGACAAGCAACAGAAGAGAGTAGCAGGCAGCAAAAGAAGCCATATGATTTGAACTTTTCTTCCTAAAAAACCCGTAGAACCTGGATAGCATTTTCTTCAATTCCTTGAGACATGAAAAAACAGCAGTACATGGCAATAGATTCAATTCTCCAGGTACCTGAGTTTTAAGGTAGGGTTGCAATGTGACAGCATATCGTGCAGGATCAGCTGCTGGTGCACATAAAGTAGGATCCACAGTGCAAAACGCATGCAAAGCTAGAACATAAGGAAGTGCCCGGATTTCTGTATCCTCAGTAGCTGTCTCTTCCACCTGAATAAAACAGCAATTGACCATAAACAACTTGGGTAACACAACCAGTTACCCACTTCAGCTGTAACGAACATATACATTTATCATTAAAAAAATATTTCTGATCTTCTAAACAGCGTCTGCCGACAGGACGTTATAACTCATCGTCGGATACCAAGACAATGACGTCACGGATATATCAAGCTGTAAAGAGGGTTTTGATGCAACTAATAACATCAATAAGAAAACAATATGAATCAAGACGTCAGAAAGATCATTCGAATGCAGAACATTACCTTAAGTATGCTTTCCAGCAAACATTTACACATCAATTCACAACGATGTCTGACAGCTGCCTGTGTAACCGAGCTTGTTGCTGAATTCTTGACCGCTTGTGGACAAAAATCCAGTGCCAAACTACGCTTGATGATGCTCACCATGGACTGATTGGTGGGCAAACTCCTCAATACATCTACCAATTGTTGAGTTCTTTCGGCTATTTCGAGAGGCACGAAGCTTCCATCTGCTACGTATTGTGCAGAAGAGTTGGAGTTCTCTTCAAACCACAACTCGAAAAAAGTCTTCCCCACGAGATCCTATAGACCAACCAGCTTTCGTATCAATGATTCAAAAAATTTGACATCAGATACATCAGATACTCAGAGCTTTTAAAGAACCCCAATTCGACTATGAGGTTTTTGGGCGGATATATGTTTCATCCAAAGAAAGCACAGAATAACGAGAACTGGTAAAGTTCAGCTATCTCAAAAGGCGCTTGGCAAACCTATTTATGTTTTCGGTATACCAAGAAGAAGCAGGCACTACCTGAATGCTGGATTCTTCATCATTGATTCTGGAAATGATCCGAACACAACCATCCGTTGCTTTAGCGAATCCGATGTTTGACATGCAGACGTCACGAATAATTTTTATAACCCGTTTACGAACACTGACACCCGTGTCCATTATTCGCTCTGCAATTTTCTCAAAGTACTGCGAGACAGTTTTAATTCCTCGTCAGCAAGTGTTCATCCACAGCCCTATTCAAGACGTTGAAGGATCTCATCAAAGATCGAAAACCAAGTCCTCGGTAAAAGTCATAATAATCCTTACGGACATAAAGATTAAGATAGGCTGGAATGCTATTCAGGATCTGGATGATATGCACGTTGGCCTCCAGGATTTGCTCGTGTGAACTGTGACTCTACTCTTATCCTTTATGACTTTCAAAAAAACGGAGAGCATTATAAACATGGATGCAATTTACTATATTATGTCTCCAATACCTTCACAGCGAAGTCTGGACGGGAAACTATGTGTCTTCCAACCAGCTCCATGGCGGCTTCACGCACTGATATGGCTGAATCTAAAAAACGCCCTTCTACTGCGCGCTGCACTCGCTCATCACCCAAGACATCTGGGTCCACCTCAACAACAGCACTCACCTGCAAGTTTACCGGTTCCAAATGAGTCAACCCGCTATGTAACCTCGCGTGTTCAAGTTCAACAACTAGGTTGGCGACAGGAAAATTGATCCAGAACGTGAAGGAATGCTATGCGTAGATAAATGACCTGCAATGAACTTCAGGGCCTTCTCCTTCTACATGAGATGCTAAAACTTTACGAAGCAACTTACAGCTCGCAGTGCCTTCGCACGAGGTGTGGGTGAATTTTCCTGCAAACTCGCCTGCGACAACATTTGAAGCCACGTTGATACTAGCTGAGCGTAGGGATTCAACAAACAAAACAATACTAACTCCCAACAGTATCAAACACAACTTCATACTTCCTGATATGGAGATCTCGCTTCAAATTAAAACTTATAAAAAATCATTTGCATATACTACCCGGGCAAATATTAAATCACCGGGAGTCGGAGAAGGGATTATCTTGATATCGGAGACCCATACCAGTAGTCTTTCGAGAATGCGGTCAAAACCCCTGGCAAGAGGCCTCTGCTGTCCAAGTGCGCCTGCAATTCGCAAGATAACATTTCTCGATAAAGGAGCTGGTGCACTCCCGAAGTCCTGAAGGGGTGCTTTCGCGATGGACCGACTATGATAGAATTGCAAATTCTCAATGGACTGACCATCGTCTCGAAACCACTGGCAGATATAAAACCTGCGCATGTTCAGGGTCCAGATGAAGATGAGAACCTGGGCTTTTCAATAAGCTCCACACGAGCTCCAGTACAATGAAGTACAGCACAACGTATGGCTGCAAGCGCGTAACACAGGACTTGAGTCACGACCGGCTTCTCCAACCAGTACTTTAAAAGTGGAAAGGATCAACAGCAGAAACTGAAGAGGGCTTTCCAGTGCCGTTTAAATTTTCATTACATATTCAATCTTCACCTGTGCGCATAGGCAGAGACACTGTCACCAGTCGCAGCTTCTTGAAGATAGTTGAGGAGTATTTGCTGTACTACGGCGATTCCTTCTTTCGAGTTGTCAACTTCCTCAACCTTCTTGTTTCGTGGAAGAGAAGGACCTCCAGTAATTTGAGGTTTCACTTCAGATCGAAGGGAGGACAGTTGTCTTTTACACAAGCAGTAATGACAAAGCCATCCACGCCCGAGCAAATCGTGTCCGATTACCCCAACACAATCTGCATGGAACCATCTATGACAGCCGTCACAAGGTACCATAACCAGGTTTCCCTTGCTTTTGGAGCAAACAACACAAGTCTTTTTGGCTGCTTCATCTTCCACGTGGATGCCCTTACCATAAATCTCCTGCAAAATCCAAAGTTTCTCGTTGCTACTGCTTACAGCATCTTGCTTTAAGCGTGCAGCAATTTGACCGAGCAAATCTATTGCTGTACCCCTCACAACAGCGTCTTTTGCCTTGATTCCCACTGCTCCAAAGAGTAAGATACAAAGCACCTGCAGAAGTAACCAACTCAAGTAAATTGACGTAAGTTTTAAAAAACTTGTACTCATTAGCATTAGCCTGATATAGTTGACCAAGACATAAGTTCACATTGAAAGCGATAAAGATAGGTGAAGTACCTGAAGCAGGAGGGAGCCTGCAGGATATTCTGGTACATTGAGCGTAGACAGCAGATCAACCACAATATTCTCCACAATAGCTTTAATATCAGCGCCTTCTTGTCCCTTTGGTGCCGCCCATCGTTGTAAAACCACCTTCCAGAAATAAGTACAAGAGTCCATAGCAGGCTCGAAGCACTTGACTGTGCGTGCAGACGGATTCTCGGCGGACACAGATTCCGGCTTCGGATCTGGTGCTGCCGCCTCAAGGTTTGGAAGACTAACACTGCATTGCACGAGCTGAAGCAAGAGAGCTGTCAACATCTGAATCTGCTTAGACGCATCTTCGTCTTGGAGCTGGAACGTTCTTAGCGAACGTTTAGAAGAGGGAAGCTTCCACCACTGTGAGATGATTTCATCGAATATAATGGTCCGATGCTGTGGGTACACATCAAAAACCTGACATAGAAGTCCAACAACAGGGCGTAGCGTTCAGTAAAAGAGACATTGAAGAAGCACGACAGAGGACATTTTACTGCGCGCAAAACAGTGGATTCACAATGTTGGTCACGGGCAAGGCACAAACAATACACACTCACAATTATCCCTATCAAGACCTCAAGTTTAGCAACTCAATAGACTCGTTTGACAACATCTGACATGAAATGCGACATCCACAACGACGACTGAGAAGTGCAGCTAGAACAAAGGCATCACTGAATCTGCCAAGAAGACATAATGCTCTAAAAGTTGAGACTGAAAGCCATAACTCCATCTTACAATGCCCTACATACGAGCACATTATTCAATCCAGACATTCGACACTGACTAATCAACGAGCTATAAGTTAAACGCATGAAACCCTCAATATGGTTTTCAATTCAGAGACCTGATCGAACTTACGTAGACATTCAAAACACTTACCATGCAGGCAACCCCGATGGCTTTCAGCTGTAGAAGCTGGATGTTGTCTACAGAGAATGTTGCAAGAACCGTCTTAGTGAGCTGTAAAACGGTACTATCCAATAAGCGCTCCACTGCAAGAAGATCTTTTAGAAGTCCAAGGATACTGCAAAGCTTGTGAAGCACATTCGATACGGAGCCAGAAACCCTGTCATGTCGAAAACAAGAGCGAATTTGTAAGATGGTAGCATCTTGGCTGGCTTGACTAAGCAACCCAGGGACAACTGACTTCTTCCGAACTCACAAAAGAGGGACTTTAAAGAGCAACGGATGCGGTTCCATCTTGGCCACAGCGTACAGCGAAACTGATTGAACAAGTAAAACCAACTGAACACACCTAGTTGGAGCGTTTTTCTTTGCTCGGGTTGCCTTGCCTTTGCGTCGACCCTTCTTTCCACCGTTCTCATCGTCGTCATCATCATCGTCATCTGGATTAGTCACAGCAAATTCCATATGTTCCGTCGAAGTCAGTCCTATGATCTACTCAGCTACAAAGAGAATGTCCACGTGGATAATGAGCTATAAGCAACAAAAAGCAACTGTATCTGCTCAGTACGCAGTCGAGTAACTGAGAACTACTTATTTTCGGCAACATTTAATAATGTCAGCAATAAAGTGGACTATTATAGCACCAAAGCAATATTGCATGGCGTTAGCCGCAATATCATGACAAACAGCTAGATTGTGAGTTACACGCCGACTCTTTATGACGTTAATTACAATCGCCATGGTCAACTGTATATTCCATAGTACTGTGAGAGATGGAAGAAAATGTATGACAGAAACACTCGACTGGACCGCCTGTACAACTACTTCCCTATGTACACAAAGAATAAACCACCCGATAACAAAACTAATAAAAATATATTCGAGCATCAACTAATGGTAGTTATTGAGGTCATTCAAATTCGGCGGACCAGCAACACCAAACTGCTGATTTATCGTTCACGGATTTAGCACTGAACTGGTGTTAACGAGTGCTTGCGAGGTGAACGATCAACAATAAAATAATCTAAACAGGTCTTCAACAGTCGATTGGAATACCAGAAATGAACTTATAAAGCACCTAAGAAATAGCGGGTGAACACTCTGAACAAGTAGAAAAAATGATATAATGATGAATTTTATGAGGAGAAAGGGGCCAACACCAACATTCCACCATAAAACCGTAAGTACATTTAATTGTTCGGTAACTACCTCATAAGTCTGACCATGTAGAGAAGAGAATGAATGGGGCTGAGAAACCTACTACGATGCGAGATACAAAAACCAATTCTTCGTTGAGGCATATGTATTTCAGATAGCATACTGCGTCATCAGACACTGGTCTTCGCCTCCCATGCAAAATCTAATATTATGTTTGCCTGCCATATCCTGAAGACGCACTGACTGTAGAGGCATTATACTTTATAATATTTCAAATAGATTTAAGAGGGTCGCGATATCTTCAGAATATACAGACTAGTATTTTTCGTCCAAACATCCAGAGTAGACTTAAACTTAGCTTGCAAGAAAATAGAGTCAAACTCACCTTCATCCAATTCACCACCAGATTTCTTATGCAGCTGTCGGTAAACAGGATCGTAGGCACTAAAAACCGTATGAACTATCTGGTATCTTGAGAATTCAATGATGTGATCAATTATCTGTAGAACAAAAAGGCTCAAGGTCAAAATGGAAACCAGCGAAAGAACTTGGACTCATACTAAGCAATATAAGATTCGGCGAAGCTATGCATTACATGTTAACGTTACTGTAAACCTTGTAACAATTCAGCATAAATGATTCTGTCGCGACTCACTTCCTCTTTGTATAATTGCTTGGGCATCGAACGGACGGTCATAATTAAAAGAGAAATTTGAACAGCTTCAAGAGCAGACATGACCAGTACAAAGCTTTCCCCGTCCACCTGCAGGGCAACACACCGGAATATCAGGCTCCACGTGCCACTTAAAAGCATTTCAATACTCCCTGGAACCTTATTTAAGACTTTCAAAATTACATACGTTAGAACATTGTAGAGTCCTGATCATTTAACATAGCACGTGATCAACCACACAAGAGCTTAACAAGCAAGGCAACTACACATTATTCTGAACAAGTTGGGCAAAATTATTTACAGGAAAAATAACAAAACCGGAAAGCAAAAAAGTTCAAATGAATATGCTATGATCCTGTAACGACAGCGTGGGATGTACAGAGCTGTGACTACACTTAATTAGTCCACTTTCCTAAAATGGCCTCAATGTAGTGGCGAGAATGATGATCGAGACAAGCCACAAAGAATGCTCGGCACTCACCTGCTTGTTCACCGATAGTCTCATTAAGACAACGTTTAAATACCTACCCGACGCAGGGTTTATTGGTACTAGTCTAAGTTGAGCACATGAAATCTAGTATTAGCCAAGCTAATACTCGAAGGCAAGGGTTTTTATATCAAGTGTCTAAGAACACGTACATCATCTTCGTCGTCAATGTCTCGTAATTGAGAGCGTTGTATGTGACGATCAAGCAAGCTCAACAGCTTTATGAGGCGCTCAGTAGGAACATGTTGCAAAGCATTCTTAGCTCGCAGGTCAGCAACATCTTCGGCCACTGTTTTTATTTCAGCAAGTGAAAGGAATGTCCCTGATTCCTCCCCTTCATCTTCACCGGGAGCATCAGTTCTTTCAAACAGCTCATCTAGCAGGTCGCACAACCCTTTCACAATGGTTCCTGCATGAGCCCAATCATAGAGAAAGTCCGACACAGGAAAATGGCGTAAGTACTGCTATATAGAACTCTCAAGAGGATTGCGTACTAAGACAGACGATTAGTATAAGAATACTTTGAAGTGGGTAACGGCAAGGCTACGCACCATAATCTGCTGGGTTATTACTCTTAAACTCGTTCTCATCTGCTTTTGCTTTGGAATTGCTCTTTCTCTGCATTCTGCTCTTTCTATTCGCGGTATGAACATCCTGCAGTAGATGAAAACAAACACTTCAGACCTATTCTTTATCTCGAGCACATTCGCTTGATCTACAAGCGACTCTATGTAAGATAAAGAATTACGACTCGAGGAATTATTGAATACATGAGCAAGGATGAAAAGGACCAAGGACACATAATGGACTAATGAGCTTCCAAGCTCATTAGTCCACTATTAGCTCTCAACACTGATGGTCATAGTTACCTCGTACGCTCTCGGGGATGGTTGACTGGCAGGTCGGGGAGACGCCTGATGAACATGAGACGAAGCACCGACATAATTCTCAAAAATCGGAGCAGGTGGTTTAATTACAAGTTTTGGGGACGAATTGCGATTATCATACGGAGGAGCAGGTGATGAGGTTCCAGCATGGTTCTCTGATTGGAGTGCAGCTAAGTGTGGAGACGCTTTTACAAGACTAGGAGTTCCTCCGACACCACCCCGCGAAGTTCTCCGCCGAGATGCTGTAAAGACCCGAAATCAGAATGAGATCATCTCACCAAAAGTAATTCATTTGTGACGAACGGCACAATAAAGAAACAAATATACTCGCCGCCTGTCCGAGTATTCTCACGGTTAGGTTTACTACCTATCTGAAAGAACATAAAAGAGCATTTCAAGAAGCCTACTGTATACTGTCGCTGTTATTGCATAGCGTACTGCTGACAGAAGTCAGGAAGTGTGAGAAATCAAATTACCAATGATCAAAAAAATAAATATGTATTCTGTGATCTTCTCTTTTACATTAGTTACTTGTCCAATGTTCACTTGTCAAAGACAGAAAGTAGGTAAGCAAATAAATGCCACTTTATATGCTCATTAATGCGCTTGTTTCAGTAAGAGTGGTCAAACTTCAAGACTTTCATCTCTACAGACCTGGAGGAGCACAGCTAAACGCGTCGGGCTCATATTGCAGAACAGCATCAAGAAGACTTCCTGGCTCACCAGTGACACCAGGAGCGAGATGTTTGTCCTTATCCCTCAGCGACCTGTGCAAAAGAGATTGTCGAGGTAAGCAGAAGCAGAGACCAAAAAAATAACTGGTCGAAACAGCCAAAAGTAGACTATATATAATCAGAAGGATGATCCATTCGAGATATATCGAGTCAGAAACAACATGGGCCTCATATACATGAAAGTTTGCAAGTTTCATTTTTTGTTCTTGTAACATGAAAAGATCTGTCCACAAATGGTGTGAATTTCAACAACGTGTGGGGATAGTCTCCGCCAGTTTCTTACCTCTACCTTACTTACAAGGTGTCTTCATTAAAGTTATAACTCCTTAAAGTTACCAATCTTAGACATTGGAAGCTTCAGAAAGCAAAAGCTCAAATTTCGCATAAAAAGCACAGCAAGACGGACATCTTGGAAAGGAATGACGTTCAACAGTGCGTTGCAGTCAATGTGCAAATTCTCGACGTCACAAGAAAGCCCTAAAGAGCATCCAATGTTCATGTAAATAGCATGTGTAGAAAATTCGTGCCAATAAATGAAGCAGATAACCACGATTTAAGATAGGTTAGAGTGTAAAACATCGATTGACCTGCAAACTGCTTTGTGGCTATCAGCTCCATGTTGACTTCCTGAACGTTTCTAACAAATGACCTAGCAAACAGCTTTAGACGGTATGGCCGAAGACATAACAAGATCTGACATTCTTATAATTTGGGTACAAGAACGAATCATCCCAGCTCGAGATGAGAACTTCCTTGTATTCTCGCCCCCAAATCAGGTAATGAACTCATTCCCAGTCAAAACTCCTGTACTAGGTTTAACTCTGAACAATCTGCAAAGATGTGTGAGTGCTCACAACCACCTTTTTGTTGAAAGCATAAACAACGAAGCTAAGAAAGATACAGACATTCCAGTCTATGAAGTGATCCACTTCGGCTGTGCTATGAACATCCTTTTCAGTTCTTGATTCAGAACTTAATTATTGGTGTATTGCTTAGCAATATGCATATATAAACAGACGCAACATCCTCAGAAAACTCTTGAAAACGCAGTGCACCCAGGTAAAAAACACAAGAACTACTTCAACTAGGATGATCATTCTAGACAAGCATAATCATTACTTTTTCGTTAGAATTTTGCCAAACCAGCTTTGTGCACTTGCCCAGACTTGACTCAATTATGTGGACTTGAGGTCACAAAGTGATGTAAATTACAAGAACAAGTAATGAGTGACGACAACAATACTTACAGGTAGCTTATGTCTGTGGACTTGAGCAATTCGGCAATTTTGCCCGCATGAGCAAGTACCGCAGAGTCATTGGTTGCACGAACTTTCGTGGCAGACTCCTCGTCAAATAGATAGAGCGCAGGGTTGCTCGCCCCAAAGGATGTCGGGAGGCTTGGCAACGGCAGGCAGTGTGCAACTTCCGAGTGAGTCACATTTGTGAGCCTGTAGGTACTCATGTTCTTTTTTCCACCATTCATCATTTTCTTCTGATAACGTTTCCTCCGTAAGACTACATATTTCCAATCCTCCTGTCCTGCATGTTTGCATTGCCCGTTTATGCAACCTAAATGTCTAGACGTGCAAGGCTCGGAATTGGAGTCTTCAACACCATTATATGTTTTCCCTTCAGACGCCACTCGAAATCCAACTCGCCTCACGCTCAAAAATCGCCATCAACAATTGGCACCTGAATTCTGTGAGACCCAGTGTAAGTTTACTAGAAAAAACCGTCTTCGAAGCCCGGTGACCGTGAAGGAAACCTAAGCAATGCGGCAGCAGACTTAGTCTGTGCATACACTAAGCTCGGGTTGAGACCACAGAAGATGCTCAACACTAGGTTGAAGGTGATCTGAGACGTTCAGGAGAAAAATCCACGATAGCCATTTCATCCTCATCAGGTATTCTTCTGACGCCTTCTCCAAAATTGCGAACCGGAAATTAGATTATCCTCTGTGTGGCGAGACATGAGCTCAAATTGTTTAATCAGAATGAAGCTGATGCAACCCGGCGCATAATTGGCGGCGCCCCGTCAATCAGTCCAGACTAAACTCCGTTTGGAAGTGGCGGACGAGGATGTCGTGTACAGCTTCAGGAAGGAAATCTCATTGGCATGACAAGTGATAATCCAGTACTCCATGTTTAGTGGCATTCATTACTATCGGTGCCGTGCTGGGAAGCGTGGGTAGACCAAACGCAGACAGGATAAGGATACACATAGGATCAGAAAGCTATGCGGCTGCCATATGCGAGCTACACGTCTATGCATCTACAAACGTTTGAAAGTGGTTATAAAATGCCGCCGTGGGCACAAAGATCGTTGACGCACCATGAAGCAGGAGTTTGCATCGATTTCCGAAGTCGAAATTCGTTCCAGAGCACAATATTCAGTCACTCCGTACGCACGAGCACATACGAGCAGCCGGAGCGCCACGGCTTTCGCAAAAGGCTCGAACGCTTCCTTTGCTCGTTCGTTCGCACCTTCAAAGCTACGCAATCATCTCGAGGTTTCACGCCGGGAGCTCATTCCTGCAAGCAGCGGCTGAGGAACACGACGACGAACAAAGCAAGTGTCAAGCTGCCAGCGGTAAAAAGTTCCGGCTGCCGATGGTAAAAAGAAACCACCCATTATTCTCCAACCTGTTTACTTTGCCTCCCGCGCCCAGTCCTCCCCGCAAGTCCGTGCTCGTCACCGGCCTTTCAGGTTGCCTCCAAGGCTCCACCTGCTCGGCCTCCTCTCGGCAAGTCGGGTGAGGTCAAAACCCCCGCTATGAGTTCCGGGCAGCCGTCCGATCCGCTATCCTGCGGTGCGAAGGCCATGTGGACACGAATTTCTACCTCTTCTCTTCGCGTCCCGGGTTCGGTCCACGGGAGGATTGACGGAGTGGCCACGACAATTCAATCACCGCGTCCACCCTTCGATATCAGAGAGCTGGAGCGTCGTCGCACATGTTGACAATACTACTTGGCCTTCACAATACAGTATTGTGAAGGCCAAGTCTTTCTAATAAGTCGAGAGGCTTAGAGGAGGCAGCGGGGGCCAAGCATTACAGCATCGAGGATGGGCAAGTATGGGTCTTGATACGCGCGTGTGATGAGAGCAACCGTAAGATCTTTCAACGGACGGTTTCAAGGAAAAGTCTTGGTTTCAAGGAAAAATTATCACATCCCCGTTGCTAAACTTAAACTTAGGCATGAACCGCTTGGCAGTTAGCGAAAAGCTCGCATTACTCAAGGGATGGATGTGGGATCGACGACTTCACATCAACATTCGTCTTGTTTGTTTGCAGTGTAACCTCGGTTACTTTAACTCCTCTCGAGTGAAGTGTAATGGAGTCCTCGAGTTTGGCTCGTGCGTGCAAGCACGAGCACATGCCTACGCGTAAATCTGTTGCCTTCTTCCTCTCTAAACTTCCCGGACCGGTGAACGAAGAGTTACAGACTTAGCTCCAACCTTCGGCTCGAGCCCTGCAGCCTCGTAACTCCCACGTCCAACGTTCAGAACCTCTTCTGCTCAAGACGCTCCCGCGAGATTTAGACGTTGTGCTTGAATTTACATCCAAGACCAGTGTATTCAAAATTTGTCGCTTTTGCGCAGTCTAGTATGAGCTCAACGTCTGCCGGCAAGACGCAACGCTCCCCCTCTTGTTTAGTCGAGCTACCCAATTGACAGTTTCGTAGGTCAAGTGGCATACGCCACCATCTGTGGGCAAGAAAAGCAATATAGGTTCGATCCATTATCCTTGGGCCTCGCAGCTAACACAGGAAAACCACTCGGGCAGCTCTACAACCATTAAGTTGGTATTTTGGATGTGAAACAAATCTGTTGCTTAGAACAGTTCAAGTTTCATGCCCCTAAGTTTCACCGACGAAACATAGAGTCAGTCGCGTATAGAATACAGCGTACAAACACTATCATTAACGTATATTTAAGTCCATGCACTTAAAAAATACTAATTGAGTTATTCATCTTGGTGTGCACATTTACCACTTCAAAGGAAGCACCTCTGTTGAACAGAACACAATGCTACATCACAGTGTATATTCTTTTCATGTATGAAACCCTAGTGCTTGCAATGATGAAGAAAAAAAGAAGAGAAAACGGAGTTCTAGACATCTACACTTATCAAATTGATCCGGTGATAAGATAACCATTTTAGACTTTTAGTTCTTCTCTTGTGAGCTTTGAGCCGTCTGCTCTATCGAGAGAAATAGATTGGAAATTGGCCATATATCATTCTTTGCTGCAATGTAACTATCTGATAGGTACCAATAACAGTCGTTATTTCTAATGCTAATCTGGGAATCTACCCCTCGAATACGTACCAATAAAATCTTGAAATGTCCTCCCTTTCTTGAAATGTCTGAGTTTCTTCAGTAAAAGATACGTCACAGGTTACCACGAGATTACGGATTCCAAACATTCTCCACATATCAAGTAAATCTTCTTCCAAACTTTAAGCTTCAGGGAATTCTATTTCGAAACTAGGATTCTTCTGTGAGTTTGTAATGTGATCATCAGATTTCCAACTTGATCAAGTGATGGACCATATGTTGATAACGAAACACCCTAAGGAATGAAGAGACAAAAGTCAATCCTAACATAACGGCATGGAAGCTTCACATCCAGTTGCACTTCACAATATCTGCCCATTCCGCAAGCTTAACGCACGCAAACCTGTGGGAGAGAGTTGGGCACGAGCGATATAATAATACTAAATACTTCAGCAGTACTGTCCAATCATGACTTGTATTTACTGCATTACATTTACATGTAAATATTGAAGGCATGTAGATTGTGCTGCCACATGACAAAACTTCTTCAAAACCAAACGAAGGTGTGATTGAAAGCATATTTCGATAAAAGTTAGAGTTTAGGATCACTTCAAGCAAAACTTTCGTATAAATTGAACATGAAACATCTGGTTTTGAATTTCCTCCTTCCTCCTTCATGAACCAGAACAAGTTATCCATGCATACATCCCAAAAATACATGACATGTATAGTCCGCAAACTACTTCGTTTGCTCAGCCAATCTTCTTACCCTAGTACCCAAAAATAAGCATATTTTTCAATTCCTTTAATTTTACAAAAGTGAAAAATATCAAAAATATCCTACCCTAATATAAAATATAGTGTCTGATTGATAAAATTTTCTGATATTAATATATAAACATAACCATTAAAAAAAAATATTATACTTTACATTAATTCTTACTACAACCAAACATCTGAAAATATATTGGTATTTTTTTAAAAAACATTAACGATGTAAAAATAAAGTATGAGTCGGTTCGATATGACTGCAGCGCTAAGGTTAAAATAAATTCATGGACACAAAAATTCACGAACAAAAGCACACACTGGTTCGCCACTGCCGGGCTACATACACAAGAATCAGAAGGTTTATTGCAAGTAAAACTGAAAATGCGCAAGAAGAACTTTGAACATTTTTACAATGAACAGCAAAACCTGAACCTAATTACAGTTAAATTATTTAAGTTAAATTCACAGGTGAGTCAATACTAATAACAAAGGAACCTTCATAACTCATATAATTATTACGTTGAACTTCCAGAAAATAATATAATATAGTCTAATCTCTCAAGTAGAGCCAACAACAATTTAGCCAAAAAGTGTTTTACTTTCATCACTTATCTGTTCTCAAAGATTTTGAAGATTTATGACAAGATCACAAGACGCATCAATGATCTTGTATCTTTGTGCAATAATTTTTTATCTTGAAGTTTATTAGTTTGAAGTAGACATACAACATGTTTGATAACTCTCTGGTATTAAATTTTTGCCTCAAACAGTCATCATACTCATCCACTTGCTAAAAAATTCAAGATTACAAATGTAATACAACAGGATTCCCATCTTGCTTTGCTCTACATGGAAAGTTTTGACTTTATCGTCTTGTCTTTACCCATAATCTTAAAATTTTATTAGATTTGTCTTTCTTAGAGGAGATAATCATTACATTTATTTTGCTTACTATCTTATATTTTGCTTCTACAAACTCCATATACCGTCATCGGGTTCCATCACTTACTTGAAGATTATCTTAAAAAATGCATAATCACCATAATCTATGCATGCTATAGTACATTACCATATGTGTTGAAGTCGATTTTACCAAATTTTATTGTAAGATGAATCATGTATGGCATTCTAGTATACGACACATAAATGGTGTTTATTTGACACTGTTATCGTCAAAGAGTGTCATATGTCACTCTTTGACGATAAGAGTCTGTAAACCAAGTAAAGATAAAGTTAATTTGAGATTTGAAAACATTGTGTTGTAGACAAGCATCATAAGGAATATTTTGATGTTGAAATCCACAATTCAAATGAGACATTTGAATATGTACATAGAGTCACAAAAGTGAGATATTTGGAAAGTTGTATTATGTATACAACTTTCAACTATTTCATTGATTGATATTTATACAAGACTTGTTTGAAATTATTTGTTCTCACAAAACTTGAGAATCTTTACAACTTCTAAAAGTCCAAATTGAGAGCCAAACTGTTTGTAAGGTGTGAAATCTACATATATGTAGTGACAAGAAGTAACAATGTGGACATTTTTGTGAATGTTTGTGTTTTGGTTTGATGTGCTGATATTTATGTGTATGCTTTTAAATTTTTGTTTTTTTGTGTGTTTCATTCTTATAACACAAAGAAAAATTAAATACCAACCGAATACAACATGTACGAGATACATAATGAATATATTACTTGAATTTGATAAAGTAAATTTGGTTTCACACAAAAAAACAACTAATATTCATGGAAGCTTTGATATGATTTAACTAATGTCTTTACTTACTTCAAGTTAGTTTAACTTTACTTTGTTGAAATGATAAGGCTGTCATTATATAAAAAAGCTAAAAAAACCTCTAAATGATACTTTTAGGATTCTTGCAGATAAAATCTAAAATGTTCCATCTCAATGATAAACCACCTAATTTTAGTATATATTTTGCACATGCATTTGGTTTTGCAATGTTGAATGTATGTGTATGAATGTATGCCTCGGTTGTTTTCAACTGAATTTTGTGTGACAAACGTACGGTTTGTCCTTATCATTTTTTTAATGCATTTTAATTGACTGGAACTATAAAAATTATATAAATTCAGCTACATATTTACGAACAAAATTCAGAATTTATTGTACATTAATGTATTGAGACAGAATTTATCATATAGATGTGCAATACTTAAGTAATATTGTTTTCGATCCAAGACATTGTGTTTGCCACTATATGTTTTTTAGTAATAATTTAAATAAATTTTATTTTATTATTCATAATTTTTTTATATGATATTATAAGTGGTGGATGCTTGCACGCGTTAACGGAGAAGTGGAAGCAGCACTCGTTTCAGGGCAACAACGCCTTGTCAGATTTACTTTCAGAAAGAATCCGTGTTTCGTGGATCTCCCTTCTCGCCATACCTATCTCGAATTTGCATTTAATTCATTTCCGTTTTCTCAAAGGTAGTGGACTCCGGTCGTCTCTAATATCGTATCTGCATATTACATTTTATAATCCAGTGGTCCATGAAGTCAACACTCTTCTTATGTCCATGACGTCGATCTTTAGTAAAGCTGCCTCACGGAATTGTTACATCCATGCAGGTTTGACCAGTTGCGACATTTTGTTCACTTTTTCATTGTTTCTCGGGGCATTGTCCTTGAGATTATTCACAAATATGATTGCAATAGCAATAAACAATGTCCATTTATATTGTATCTATCTAATATGTTTCTGAGTGAAGTAAAAATTTCTCCCTGTATATGACTTTGTTATTAAGGGAAATCATTCCTCCAAATATATATATATATCCTTAAAGGTATCGAAAAATCTTGAAACAAGTTAACAAGTTTCAGAAAAAAATA